TTCTCTTCTCTTCTCTTCTCTTCTCTTCTCTTCTCTTCTCTTCTCTTCTCTTCTCTTCTCTTCTCCTCCTCTCCTCTCCTCTTTTCCTCCTCCTCCTCTCCTTCTTCTCCTTCTCCTTCTCCTTCTCCTTCTCCTTCTTCTTTTTGCCTTTTAAGCTTTCCATTTCCCCTATCCATTCATGTTCGTCCTGCAAGGTAGTGCAGACAAGAAGCACACCCAGATGAGCTAATCCTACTTTATAGTAAGATTACATTAACAGAATCATACAAGGTTGAAAGTATTTCTCCCTTCCTCTCTTTTTAGTCTCTGGAAAACTAGGGAGGGTCCCTTCTGAAACACTTCCCATGCTTTTTCCCTACCTGCGGACTGAGCTGCCTCTTATCAGACCGTTGCTTAGGCTGCAGGCCTTCCTCCTACCTTCTAAGGCTATTCCCACATGCCATCACAGTCCATCTCCAAATGCTGTAGTTTTATATTATGTCATCAGTTTCTGAACCCCAGGCTACATACAGCCCTAAACCCCTCTTTTGCATCTCCTACAACTTTTACTGACCAAAACTCAGTATATTTTTCCCCACTATTTTGGGGTTAGTTAATAATTAATTGAATAAGCCCTAAAATACAATGAACACAATTAAAAAAAATAATGGTCCTCATAATGCCCTAAAATTTCAGATGTGGTGTTGAGCCACCAAAAGGTTACTTGCCTTGGCTTAATGTAAATAAAGTCTTACAAACACATTTTATTGGAAGAGGGTAGAATAAAAAAGAGCAAAAATAAGACAGAAAGAAAGATTCAGTAGTTTGTATCAGGTGGTACATGATGATTAATTTTGGCAGACAAAAATAGAAATACTGGACATCTACAAACAGAAAAGCATGGCAGTTTCACCTGAGCCCATTTTAAAAAAATAAAGATATATATCTAATTCCAAAGGACTTTCTTCTTTTTCCCCAAAATGAGGGAGAAACTTCCTCCAGTCTTTCTAATTGATCAGCACTATGAATATACAGGTAGTTCTCATTTAGCGACCACAACTGGGACCAACACTTCAGTCGTTAAGCAAAGCGGTTGCTATATGAAACCATGCCTGTCTTATGATCTTACTTCAGCTTTCCTTTGCTTTACAGACCTGTGAAGGTCTTAAATGGAAAGTTTGTTTGCAAAGTTACTTTTTCATCACCATATTCACTATGAATGGTTGCTAAATGAAGCAGTTCCTAATGAGGACTACCTGTATAGGACTACCTTCTTCTGTCCTTTGAAATAAATGCTAATAAAGTCATTTTTACTACAGGGGCTGGGAGCACTGTACTCACTATGCAATATACAGATATACTAAGCAGCCCAATATCATTTATTCAGTTTTCCACTGGGAATTCATGCCATCGGAAGCAACATACATTGGCTTTTTAAAAGTTGTTCAGCTTTTTGTGTCTACGATGTATAATTAAAATAGAAAGCATAACTTCTTTTAGATTACAATATACTGCGATGGCATAATGCATCACATATGGCATTAGAAAGTTCTCAGCTCCCCAGAAGTCTGGAGAGACTGCTTGTTGAAAAACAGAAGCTGCATAGTGCCCCTGGGTGCACATTTTTGAAAAAGGGAAAGGAAAAGTCTGTGGTTCATTATTGCAATGCCTAGTATCACTGACTCCAGGCTTGCATTTTTGAAGTAGAATTGCAGTATCAAGAGCTATATTATAAATCTTAATCATTTGTAATTAGGCTTGTATAGATTAACTGAAATACAAGTCTATACATCCATATCCCTTTCTTGACTGGTACAGAAGTGGTAAGAAATTTTTTTGTATGAAACCTCTTTATTTATTAATGTAATCAAATATAAACCTTTTCAGAGATCCTGAACTATGGATTTATTATGTATGCATGAATTTAACATGTATATCATCCTTCAGAAGTGCTTCCAGAATTATTAATGTTAATATAGATCCAAACCGAACCATAAGCTCATCTGTTTTGCTGCCTATGATGTCTCTTATACAAATTTTCACAACAAGATAATGCAGTGAGGAATAAGAGAATAAATATCAGAGGGTTTACAAAGAATTCACTTGCGGCAATATTATGGAAAGTAGAAACACACTCAGCAGACACACAGTGTTATTTTTCCTTGACAGCTTCCCATGACCAAATCAATGGAGCTGAAATTATCAAGTACCCAGCGTGCTGTCATGTTCCCTATTCACTGGCAAATAATATATAATAATATTATATATATTCTATAATATGACATATAAATAGTATAAGACATAATATGTAATGTTATTTAATTATTTATTTAGTATTTAAATATGTCAACATGAAGTAATATGTAAGATGTAACATCAGTACAGAGACCCAAACTCTCTTTAGGTAGGCTGGATAAAGAATTGGGCCTTGTCTTTTTCCCTACCCAGTACCCATACATTAAGCTGTGAAGCCTGAAGGAAACAGTGCCTGACTGGCTTGCACACAAGAACTGGTCTTGGTGCACTTTGGGGTCCTGTATCACATAGAGATCTCTACTCATCTTCAAGTCATTTGGAGTGCAGTTTCTTGGAAATTCCCCATTTGGGTACCATAGAAATTGGGGGAATATGTGGCCTTGTTCTATATCACTGTGTTCGTGATATACTGTAGAACAAGGACTATATACAGCACTCCACACATTCAAAGGATGTAAAAAGGGCTGCAGTGGAAAATTTAAAAAAAGTACCTTTGTTGGAGCAATTCAGTTTTAAGAAAGAACATCAAAACAAATGAACAAAAACCCAACAACAAAAATCCATCATGATTTCTCCTATAAGCTCTCAACCTGTAGAATTGCTATCTGTAGTTATATCTTTTCATCCCAAGGAAACAAGGGCTGAAATCCCTCAACAGTTTTGTGGCCTGAGAAGCCTCCCACCCCTGCAAAAAAATATAAAAGGAAATTTTTTTAAGGGTAGAACTAATTTACCTTAAACATTTCAATTTGTTTTTGTTTGCATTCTGCAAAATAATTGCAATCAGATTCATTGACACAACTGCTTTTTAAAATTTTGATTCTTTGAATTCAGATGTAAGGGTTTTTTAAAATAACATCAGTATATAACTGTTAGAACTAACAAGCATAAAATCCTTAAACTGGCTATTTTATTTATATTTAAATCCTATTAAAATCAATATCAGCTACCTTCTCACGTTGATATACACACAGTTTATGCATGACAAACTAGTTGAATTGAGATATTTATATATTTTTAAAGTCCAAAGAATATGCCTATTTTCAGGACAATATGTAATTGTCCGTTGTACACAAAGAAGTTTCAAATAACCTTTATATCAATTCCAAGTGATAATTGTACATTTGTAACTATGTAATCAGCATATGATGAAGTGGGTGATCACTCAAGCTGTGGGTGATGTTGATCATACTTAATGGGATACAAATCATCTGGTATTTAAGGAAAACTTCATTAGTTTAATTTCCTGTTAAAATAAAGTTTTCTGATAAATGAGATCTGTCTGCTTGCTTGTTTTTTTTAAATTCTGTTTGATAGTTTCCTCTGGAAAATGTTCTGTGTGATGCTCTTGTCATGGTCAGAAAATCCTCTGGTCTGTTTTAGACTATGTCTAATGATTTGTAGTGAAAATCTTCTATTCCAGATACTGGACCTGATAAAACCTAATGACTGACTACATCTTGCTTTGTCTGTTGGTAAAGATGTTGAAATTCTGACTGGACTATAGAATCAGTAGGTTTTAGTCCCAGGCTTAAATGCTTTCTTTACTCACACAGATGGAGTAAATCAAAGGACAGATTGATCAGAATAAGCCAGAGTTGTTTTTCACACCATATGGCATCTTTTTCACCATGTTATAGGGGAGGAGCCAGAGCAGTTGGTGGCTTGCTATCAGCAATGTTCATCATTATCCTAAAAGAGGTTACTCTCAGATCCATTTCTGAGAATGAAACTGAAGCAAGGAAGTGTTGGAAAGAGCATTTTAGAGACTTGCATGGGAATGAGAGTGTTATGTTAAGTGGATTGAAATTAATGCTATAAATGTCATTGTCTGAGAAAAATAGATTAAGAGGAAATAATAAATCCTGTGACAGTGCTGAAAAATGATGACTGGACTAGACAAGCAACTGGAAAAATGTTAAAATATGGATGTGGTTTGCTTATGCAGTTGCTGTCCAACTTGTTTAATGTGTGTGTGAATTGTCAATGCATCTGTGCCTGACAATTGGAAAAATGCCATTATGGGTCTCCACTACAAAAATAAAGTGTTTAAATATTAAATGCAAAATCTACACGGGACCAGTTTATTAAGTGTGCCTGGGAAAGCATTGGGCAGAATTTTGATGAAAGAGGTTCAAGAGATGACAATGACCAAACCTAGGAAGTGAAGTGCAACTTTATGCCATGTATGGGGTGTGTGCAGACACCATTTTTGTTCTTCAGCAAGTCACTGGGAAATGTATAAATATAAGAAAGAAACTTTGTTGTATTGTCGAAGGCTTTCATGGCCGGCATACGATGGCTGGTGTGGGTCTTCCGGGCTGTGTGGCCGTGTTCTTGAAGTTTTGTTTCCAGCCATTGAGATTCACAAACACCAGCACAGTTTCAATAAAAAAGAGGAGAGTCTAAAAA